CCAAGAGAGTCTGTCTTTTGCGCCTGTTACTTCATCTAACACCACTGCAGGGAATCTAAACTTCAGATTCTCGGAGACATATGGTAATATCTGGGAAAAATTCCACCCTGTACCTCGTCTCCATAAGTCACAGACTCTCCTCTCCTCATACCCGACAGGTAATGGTCCCGTCACCAACTCCAGCAAAGGCTTATCCAAGAGCCACTTGTCAACCCAAAATCTTATATCCCGACCATCTCCAATAACCCAGCTTAAACCCAAGGACACCACCTCCTGCAGCCTTGTCCCTATACTCTTCCAAGTAGATGACCAAGTAGTCTTTACCTTCAGCCAAGACTTGTCATGTACGTCACCAACTTTATATTTTGATCTGAGCACTCTCGCCCATAGACTCGTTTTGTCCTGCAAAATACGCCATCCGACCTTAGCTAGAAGAGCTTTATTCATTGCCAGAGAAGAGCGTATCCCCAGACCACCCTCTCTCTTTGGTAAACACACTCTCTTCCACGCCACTAAGTGCTGCTTTCTTTTTTGCGGATTACTGCCCCAGAGGAATGACCTTGACACTCTATCAATCTTGTCGATGGTAGATTTAGGCAGTAGAATCGTACTCATAGAGTGTACCGGTAGCGAAGCAATCACTGATTTCGTAAGAGTAAGCCGACCTGCGAAGCTCAAAAACCTCCCCTTCCAGCCAGCTAACCGTGAAGACATTCTCTCCAAAATCTCACCATAAGTATCCTTATTGATGCGTTTATGAAGTATCGGCATACCAAGGTACTTCCCTAACTCCCTCGTCGATTGAATCCCACTTGCATCACTAATTAATTTCGCTAGGTCCCGGTGAACATTGTCGGAGAAGAAAATCTTCGATTTCTCCAAACTCACCTTTTTGTCCCGAAGCAACACAGAATCTCTCCAACACCTTCCTGATTACTTGGACTTGTGCAACCGATGCCTCCGCGAAGAGGATTAGATCGTCCGCAAAGCAAATATGTGACAGCTTCGGGCCTCCTCTCGAGAGACTTATTGGCTTCCACTTCTTGCAGTCCACCGACATCTCTATCAAGTGACATAATCTCTCAAGACACATCACAAACAAATATGGAGATAATGAGTCTCCTTGTCTAAGTCCTCTTGATGGTGTAAACGCCTCTGTTTTCTCCCCATTTCACAGTAGGCTCATCGATGGTCCCGACACACACTGCATAGTCCACCTTATCCAAGAATCCGGAAGTCCAGCCACCCTTAGTGTATCTTCAAGAAAGTCCCATTTGACCCGATCATAAGCTTTCTCAAAATCCAACTTCAAAAGCATCCAACCCTTTCTACCTTTTTTACGTCGCATTGAATGAACAGCTTCTTGTACTATGACAATATTATCCGTGCTTAATCTCCCGGGGATAAAACTGGCTTGGGCTGGTCCAATAAGCTTTGGCATGACTTCTTTCAATCTCAACACCATAGTTTTCGTAATTGTTTTAAATAGAACATTACACAAACTAATGGGTCGAAATTACGTAATTTTTTCCGGTTTAATCACTTTCGCAATCAAAACCAACATCGCATCATTCGTCTCGGGTGGCAGTATACCAGTTTGGAAAAAATCCAGAACAAACCGGACAACCGATGGACCCACAACCTCCCAACAATTCTGATAAAACACCGGTTGGTAGCCATCCGGTCCCGGCGCTTTATATTGACCCATGCTTCTAATCGACTTCTCTACTTCAAAAGCTGAGAATGGTTTGTTGAGCTTAGTCAACTCATCTCTTGTCAACTTGGTAAAACCTAGCTGCGGTAATTTCTCTGTTGACTGTGAGACATCGTCCAACGAATAGAGTTTGGAGTAATACTCTATCGCTAATCTCTCTAGCTCTTGAGAATCCGATATCCAACGACCACTATCATCTTTCAACATCTCAATTCGATTCCTCCTCCGTCGAATGATTGTCGAAGTATGAAAGAATTTAGTGTTACGGTCCCCCAAGGCTATCAACTTCTCCCTAGACTTTTGAAACCAAAGAACCTCCTCTTGTTCCAAAATCACATCAAACTCTTTTATCAAAGCCTCCTCTTTATGTAGTAATTCATCCGATTGGTCCAGCTCCAACAAATCTTGAACCATTTTAATTTCATTAGCTACTTGCTCTTTCCGTTTGTGAATATCACCAAATACCTCTTTGTTCCACTGTTTGAGTTTCTCTTTCAACCCGTTTAGTGCCACTGGTGTTGACATTTCCCCATCCCATGAATTTGCCAACATCTCCTTAAATCCGTCATGCTTTAACCATGCTGCTTCAAACCGAAACGGTCTCCTCATTGGGTTACCTTTTGTCGCTGGACATAACTGAACATAGAGCGGAGTATGATCAGAGGCCATGAAAGGTAAATGAGAAACTGTTGCTTCCTGCCATTTAAGTCTTGTTTGGGCACAACACAAGACCCGATCTAGTCTTTTGGCAATAAAAGTACTCACCACACGGCCCCTCTTCCATGTGTACTTGCTGCCCCGAAAGCCTAGGTCAATGAGAGACATCTCGTTAATCCATTCCCCGAAGGCGAGTGAATCTTGTGACAGTCTACCATTGCCTCCTGTTCTCTCGTCTAGCCTCAATATCGTATTGAAATCTCCCCCTATCATGAATGGTTCCGAAATTCCCTGGAGAACCTCTCCCAGCTTTTCCCACAGCCCACTTCGCCTACTGACCGTCGGAGCCGCGTATACCACCACCAAGTGCATTATCTCTGAACCATTTACCACTCTCGCGTGAATAAACTGATCAGACTGCTCCACAACCGAAACTTCACCGATACTCGATCTCCACAATATCCAGATACCCCCACTCTGTCCTTCCGCATCCACTCTAAAAGAGTTCTCAAACCCCAGGCCTTGACATATACGACTCGCCCTATCACCCGCAGCATGTGTCTCTAACAAAGCTAAAAAATCCGTTTGATGCTTCTTGAGAATGTAACGAATTGATCTT